GGCGAAGGAAACGACAACGTCGTTCTACTAAGCCGTCGACAACGTTGTTTCAGTCTGACAGTCCCCCCTACTTTCCTCCTACAGTCTCCATTTCTACCGGGTAGGATCCGGTGCTTAAACCTATAGGTTTAAGCATTTTGCTTAAGCCATTCAATTAGTTGATAGTAGATTAGATAGTTAATAAGTGGTTAGAAGTTAATAGGTAGTTGAGGATAAATAATGTATTATGCATATATAATTAATATTAATAATTAATTATTCTCTTTCTCTCTCCTCTCATAACTTTCTCCCTAACCCTCTCTCCTCACTACAATTAAAAGAAAACCGGAAATTAATTTAATTATATTTTAATATTTAATAAAATTCGAACTTAATAATTTTTCCCCTTTTTTAAAATAGAAATTAAAAATTTGCTCTCTCACTTTGTGACAACTTGCAATGTAGTATTAACATTTTGCAATGACATTATCAACGTTTATGAAATAAATCATTATTACTATACCTTATCATTATTAACTATTTCAATAAGTATCAATCCTTTGCAATTATATTATTAACAATTTTGAATCAATCGTTACCGTTTTACATTTTCATTATCAATGTTTATTAATCAATCATTGATTTACAACATCTTTACTAATGATTCACTGTATCATTGATTCACAACATTCGCATTATTGATACTATTAGTAATGAGATCCGGGAGGAACAAACAACAACTGATATTATGATACATCAAACGTTAACAGTGTTCACTATTAACAGTAGATCACAAAATTGTAAATATTTTAGGTCAATGGTTAAACGTTTTGAAACTATTAGTAATTATATACTTTCACGTTGTTAACGTTTTGATGAGAGTTGCTTAACGTTTTTAATGTAAACGTGACGTTCGCATTCCAAAAAATTTATTGCAAATGAAAATTCTAAATGTTTTAGGCGAATTTTTAACGATTTTGATACTATTAGTAATGATATACTTTAACAACATTTTGGTGGGAGTTGCTTAACATTTTTAATGTGAAAGTGAAATTGTAAGTTGTAACAACTACGTGATATCATGGTACATTAACAAACAACATCTGATATCATGATATATTAAACCTAGATAACGGCATTTTAAATTGTAACTAATGTAACTATATTTTATTAATAATTCACTAAAAATTTGATAATGCTAGCCTATAATGATTAGAACCTTAAATATTTTATTATGTTAATAACAATTTATATTACACTAACAATGATAACATTACATTATATTGTTAACAATGAGACTAAACTTAACAAACAACAAAAAAATGATTTAGGAGACGATGACAATGTTTTAGTATATCATTGAAAATTCGTAGCAAAAAAGTTGATAGAAGTACCTTGGATTGATAACAATGAACCAATAAAAGTTGATGGTGTAATTGTTGGATATTGTTTCATAAACGTTGATAACAATAAAAACAAATAGTAAACTTTATCAAGGAGTTTATAAACCTGACGTCCAATTTGGAAAACATATGCTCATAGGTTGATAGAGATGCAACAAACCGTTAATAATGTAACAAAAATTTATTGATAACGAAAACATCAAGAACCAAAACATTATGTTTTTATTGAATACAAAAACATTTATTTTCAACTAAATATAGTCTTTATCAATGATTTAGTGTGTTCTTATTAAAGGTTACTAACACTGTTTTATTGAATACAAAAATTTTGATAATAAAGTATAAAACTAATAACGTCATAAAAAGTTTTATTAACAATTCATGTAAAAGTTGATAATAACGATTATTAAACATTTGATAATGAAAATTATATGTGCACACATGACATGACGTTACTAATTAACGAAAAATTGACAATGTTAAATTTAATTACCAAACAAGTCTAATAAACAATTAATGACAACGTTTTGGGAGCTCATTACTAATAGTATCAATAATGATAATGTTGTGAATCAATGATATTGTGAATCATTAGTATTTGATGATGAAAATGTAAAACGGTAACGACTGATTCAAAATTCTTAATAATATAATTGTAAAGAATCGATACGTATATTGAAATCGTTAATAATTATAAGGTACGGTAATAATGATTTATTTTATAAGTGTTGATAATGTCATTGCAAAACGTTAATACTACATTGCAAGTTGTCACGAAGTGAGTGAGCAGATTTTTAATTTATATTTTAAAAAAGGAAAAAACTATTAAGTTCGAATTGTGTAGCCAAAACTTTGATGATTTGACCAAATATAGCCACTTTTGGAGAAATACCAAAAATAACCACTTCCGTCCAATTCTTTGACGATGTGAATTAACATGCTGACTGGACTAACAACAATAGTTGACGTGGCATATTTTATTTAAAATAATATAAGGTGAAAAATAATCAAAATTCATTCTTTTATTTTAATCAAATTAAACAAAAAAAAAATCATAAAACCAATAAAAACAACTGCTTCGTCTTCTCTAGGGATAACAATGGGGCGGGTTTGCCTAAACCATCCCCATCCCCATCGTCAAATAACCAAACTCATACCCGCCCCATACCCATGCAGGGGAATGTTTTGCAAACCCATCCCCATACCCGTGGGTTTCGGGTACCCATGGGTAATACACATACCCGTACATCCAACATTATTATACCTAAAAGTTACAAGAAATTTTTTAATTATAACTCTAAACGAAAATTTTATATCGGGAAGTCAACAAAACACAGTCATTTTTTTAATATGGTTCAAAGAATATGATCCTAAAATATTCATTAATACATAATACAGAGTATAATATTTTTCAAATTATTATGTTCTAACTCTGATACATCTACTAAGTAATAATTAACTAACATAATCTTGTTGACAAGGGGGAAAGTGAAATAGTGAAATGAGAATTGAGAGAAATGAATTAGATTTTGATTAAGATGGTCACTCAATTGCATTTTTACTATTTATTTTCTCAAGTTATCCTCATCATCATTGATAGATTAGAATTTGATGCACATATTTTTTTTATATATGAAGAAATTCTATTGGTGGGGCGGGTATGGGTATGGGGCGAGGGAGGCTAAAACCAAACCCGCCCCATACCCATCAAAGCTTTTGCGGGTTTTACCCATACCCGCTCAAATCGGGGATTCCCCGCGTTGACAGGGTCGGGGGCGGTCGGATACCCGCGGCGATGGGTTTGATTGCCATCCCTAGTCTTCTCCTTACAGCTAATTTTGCCATGGTCGTCGGCTTCTTTCCCAATCTCAAAAAATTCCTCTTCTCCTCCCCAATTCCACGAGAAGAAGATGCAAAAGCCTGAGGACAGTTCTGGGTCGATGCTTCTTCGTTGTTGTCCAGCCGATTCATTGTGTTATCAGTAGCAGTAAATTCATCAATTGCTTTAGGGATTTCTACCAGGAGCAGTCGATTCGTCGATTGCTCCTTTGCTTTTGCCCAACCGCTTCGTGGATTTGTCAATTCCTTCTTCGTCTTCTTCTTCCCGACTGAAATCTACGACCTTACACAACCCTTCTTCATCCCTCTTGCTGTCTCTTCGATCTTATCCCACTGGGTGTTTAGATTTGACCCAAATCGACTAGATACAGGGTTGTTCCACTTGGGAAAGCTATCGCTGGTCGTCGATGCAGATGGATGTCCCCTGTCGTCACCTTCTCTATCTTCTTCTCCGCTGGCCCCGGTAGGCTGTACTTGAGATCTCCGGCGGTGAAAGATATTCTACGCCTTCGTCTCTCTCTCTCTCTCTCTCTCTCTCTCTCTCTCTCTCTCTCTCTCTCTCTTTATTTCTTGCTTGTCCAGTCTACGGTCTCTCTCTATTCCGAAACCCCAACAGGGTCAACTGAGACGCGACAGGGTTAGAGGCTATGGAGATGAGCGGTGGGGGGTTCTCTTGGATGATTGAGGTGACGTTTCGGCTGCCGCATTGACAAATCTCGGAGGCGGTTCAGGAGAAGCTTTGATTACTCGAGGTTCTTCGTCGTTGAAGCCGCTTGATCTGGATTAGGGATTGATGGGAGAGAATTTGGGGAGGAAGGTGAAAGAAAGAATTGAGAAGAGGGGCGCTCTGCGGGCGACGCCAGAGAGGAGAGAGGGACGTGAGATAAATAAATGTATTTATTTATTATTTTCTTTTAGTTTTCAGTTCACAAATAAATAAAAATTATTTCAGGTAAAAAAAGACTATTTGAAAAAATAATCATTTATCCACGTGGAATTGTTAAAAGATAAATCAAAATGATGTGGCAATGATATCGATGACTTGTCGTTGATGTGTGTGATGATTTGGTATCCTAGTCAGCCTGACGTTAACTTAACTGACGGAGTTTCTAACACCGTTAAAGTTTCTAAAGGAAATGACTATATTTGTCATGAAACTTTCAAAATTCTAGTTATTATTGGTATTTCTCCAAAAATGGCTATTATTGTCACAAACTTCAAAGTTTTGGCTACACAGATGAATTTTGCCAATATTAAATATTAAAATCTAATTAAATTAATTTTGAGTTTCCTTTTAATTGTAGTGGAGAAAGAGGGTTATGGAGAAAACTATGGGATGAAAAAGAATAATCAATTATGAATATTAATTATATTTGCAATACCCTATTTATCTTCACTTACCTATTAACTACTAATCTCTTATTAACTAGCTAATCCACTATCAACCAATAAAATGGCTTAAACAATATGCTTAAGCTTTTGGGATTAATCTCAGGAATCCAAGCCCATTTCTACTCGTCAGACTGAGATACGGCTCACAGAGCTGAGGAAAAAAATCACAAAATACACACTTTTTTAAAAAAAATTCCCAAAATACATACGTTATAAAAAATATTCTCAATCTACACATATTTGGGCTTCACCGCTGCCGTCAACCGCAGTGAATAACATCACTGCGGCTGTCAAAAGCGTGAACGCTTCACCGCCATGGTTGGATGCGGTGATACTTCCGGGCCATTCACCTCTGATGTCCCACGCAGTGATGACCCAAATAACTGTCCTATTCCCCATGTGTTAACGGTGGCGAAGAAGAATGGTGCATCTCTGTTCGGCGATGATGGCGAGGAAGAAAGCGATGAGATTGAGGACCAACACGACGACGATCAGCAGCGTGGAAGCCATTATTGCTATTGTTATCGATTTCCGGCGGGAAGTCAAATCGGTCCAGTGCCTACGCTACAGCAACTCTGGCCGGTGGACTTGCCCTCTCTGCTACGCCTTGGATTGGAATATTCAATTCAACATTTTCTGTTTTCTAACATCCGAGGCCGAGAAACTTCACTCGATGAATTTGCTGTTGTACATGGTGTCGATGGCGGTGATGATTCTGCTGTCGTTCACGCTGTACATCGAAGGGAATGTGGCGGCGGTGATGTGGAGATCGCTGACGCTGTAGGTGTCGGGGAAAACGAAGGAGGCGATGGCGGTAGTGGTTTTCGAATCCAACCCTTGCTGGTGCTGGGGAACAGAGATGCGCCATTCTTCTTCGCCACACACATGGGGAATACTTTTGGGGGCAATTATTTGGGCCATCACCGCTTGGGACATTAGCGGTGAATGGCCCGAAAGTGTAAGGCTAAGTTCAATGGAGCCTCTATAAATGGGGGAGTCTCTATATTTTGAGAAAAGTTAGCTCCAATGGAGTCTTTATATTTGGGGGAGATATGCAAAAGGATCCCCAAATTTGGGGGTGGAAATGGGGGATCCCCCAAATATAGAGACTCCCCAAAGCCCGTCACGTGGCTTTTCTTTTTCTTTTTAAGATTTTAGGGGTTAATTGAGGTTTAATTAGGAGATTAGTTAGGGATTAAATTATATCAATCATTTTCAAGTGTTGTGTGTAAACCCAAATTAGGTACATAATTTTTCGCCAAAAAAATTTGGACTCGGAATTTAACAAAATTCTATAAAAAATTTGTATTTAAAAATGATGATGAATTATACAAAAATTAATATGAACAAATTATATTAAGGCTTCGATAAGTACATTTTTAATTAAATGGAAAAACTGGACAAATGAAAATCCCCAAATATGGAGATTGAAGCATTGGAGCAAAAGAAGAGAAAATGGGTATCAATCCCTAAATTTGAGGATGAAGCATGGTCCATTAAACCATAGCGTACCGGCGGTTCAACCACAAAATACCAGTATCGGAGGCTAAACCGATAGGCGGTATTTAACAGTATTAACTAGGGCTGAAAGTTTGGTACCGGTATTTGGGATATACCGAATACCGTACCGAATTTGTCTATATTTGGTATTACCGAATACATGTATTATTTCTTGGGATTGAGATTGGGATTCAAGTTCAATTGTTATTCGGTATTAGGGATTACGGGATTGGGATTGAGATCGGTATATACCGAAATACCGAACAATACCGAAATATAAGCTAGTGTGTATTTTATCCTCTCAACTAGACTCTCTCATTCACTACTATACTACTCCAACCACCAATCTATTGCTATTTTCATAACACTAAAAAACAAACACTAGTATTAGTCTTCTCTCAACCTCCAATTCGTCAAATTAAAGATTACCAAAGACAACAACTTGAGATGTCACATCTACTTCATTCTCTTTATCCATATCCTAGCTCTAGCCAAACTCAAAATTCTTTGTTTAGTCTCTTTGTCCTATATTAAACAATCAAATCTAATTTATATATTTAATTATTAATTATAAAGGTAATTAATTTCGTATTCGCTAATACCGATTGGGATACCGAAATATTTAGGGATTGAGATTGGGATTGATTCTAGGGTGTAATTCGGTATTTGGGATTTTGGTATTTGATATTGAGATATCGATACCGTACCGATTTCCACCCCTAGTATTAACGGTTGAACTACGGTTCAACCCTGATTTTCCCATAAAATACCATACTGCTGACTTTTCCGATACGGTCTCTGGTACGATTTCATGAAACACGAGATGAGGTAACAAATTTGGGGTTTTGTATTGGAATTTGCATAAGATTACGTTCGCTACGACTTGAAAGAAATCGCATTCCCTTCCTCAATCCCCGACCCTCCTGGCAGGCTGGCACCCAAAAACGCCCCAAATTGACCTTCTACCAGGGTTTCCTTGTGAGTTCCCATTAAATCCTGCTCCTGAGTTCCAATCGACGTTAGCCTCCATGAAACTGAGGTAGCGGCCAACTTTCTTGCGATTTACTCTTTTGCCTTTGATTCGAGCTGGATTGTATTAACCGTGGCCCTCTGTTTGTTTCCCCAAATCCAGGTTCTGACTTCTGAACTAGGCGACTAGGCTTTATGCTGCAAGCTGGGTGCGGGATATAGGTCCTGACCTTCGGCCGAATGATTACAAGAAGCGAGAGGAGGGCCAGGATGGAACAAAGAGCACCGGAGAGAAGGAGCCGTCAGTGCTTGAAGATCTTGGTAAATCACTAACTTCATGGCAGCCATGGCTTTATCAATGGGATTGTTACTATCCGTAATTTGCCTTAAACATCTCTTTTACAGTCTGATGATGACAATGATATTGATATATATGCTTTGAGCGGCATCGAAGGGAAACTGTGGTCATTGTTTATTAGACATAGGCAGAGAAGGTTGGATTGGGTTTCTCCCAGTTCCATTGCTTAATTGGTTTGTAGGAATCCAGCACGCTACGGATAGTTGAATTTCATTCTGGTCATCATTTTCTAATTGTAGCACTGAGGGAACAGCCAAGTAGTTGGCTTATTAACCTTTTCCTCCACTGGTTTACAGGCTTTTCCCGGTTCTGTTTCAGTTTATCCTTCAACGACTCTTGTACATCTCAGTTTCCATGCTCACTTCCTTCACTTATATGTTATTTTGCACCCATGAAATGGGTTGTAGCGGTTTCTGCAAGGTGAGGCGCCGAGACCTTGAAGCCAGCCTTCCAGCGGTTTTACGTGACAAGAGCTTCAGCATACCGAGATGCTCAGAAAAGTTTCATAGAAGGGTATCAGGAAGGTGTTCAGCAGGTAATTGAGAAGAAGGAAGAATCTGATAAGAGACAAGAGGGACCAGCTCTTTCTCTGTGGACGTGTTGACACAAGTTTAGATTGTTCATCAAAGTGTAGATGAGCTTTAATTGTTAGGATTTTATATTCGCACAAGCCTCCCTACTATAACCACTTGTTATGAGCGTGAAGATGCCAAAAAACCTGTTGTACATATAAGTTTTTTGATTGAATGAGAAAACCTCCCTCTTTTTGGTGTAATGATTTCTTCCTATGGTGTTTGTGTTTGTTGGTGCTTTGATGCGACCCCGCTCACCCCATATGTGCACATTCTAGTCCAAGATATATCTTCACATGGACGATGGGCCAAGAGACGAATTAAGAGGTTCAAAGAGATATTGGGAGCATTCAAGATGGGGGAAAATGGCTCTGCCAGCAAGGCCTACGAGTTTGTTGATGTGAAATCAATTGGCAGAACATATAATTCTTGTGGTCCAAAGATGAAGGCTCGAATACAACGATATAAGGATCAAATGGGATCATTCTTGATGGATATGAAATTGCATCGAGGAAAGCCCATCACATTACTACAATTTGTGAATCAGAATCAAGAGAAGATGGGCTTGGAAGGAAGAGTGAAGAATTTGGCCTAGAAGTAAGGAATTCTCCATCGTGTGAACACAAGGTGTGAAAGGAATACAAGTGTGAAAGGAATATCAGGTGTGAACACAAGCCATGTGAGGGAGGATTCCAATGCTAAAATCTAGGGAGTTGTTGACCAAGTCTTTTCCTTGTCTTTTAAGGATTGTGTTTACTTTTCCTTTAAGGTTTTGTTTTCCTTTTAATTGTAGGATTTGGTCATTTGTTTGGTTTCTTTCTTAGTTTAGGATTGGATTTTCGTTGCCTATATAAGGAGGATGAGTCCCTCATTGTAATTCATTCAATTATCAATCAACTTTCAAGTTACAAGTTCATACGAACTAGTTCTTTGTGCAAGCTTCTGTTGAGAGTGCTCCAGGAGTTTCACGTGTCTCTTATCAACTAGAGAACAGGTCTAGTTGTGGCGAGCTTCTACCCAATAGCGATTGGCCTTATTCACGAGTGGGTGATTGTTTGATTGGTTTTATATACCAATTGGCCTTTCACACGAGTTGGAATCTGTTTGATCGTGTTCCATCATTATCTTTTGTTCGAGTTCTTGTTCGTTGGAGAAACGCTTCGAAAACCCATAAAAAGTTGGAAAGCTGCGTACTTTGGTCATATAATCCGAGTTCGAGGATTCTCTTCGGATTTGGATCATATCATGCTTCATTCATGCATAGGTTTTTATTACAATGTCATTTCACTTTGGAAGAAAAGTTATAGTTATGTGACCTTCTGGAAATGTGGACTGTAATTAGCCACATTGTAATTATTTGCATGATGGGAGGTATCAGTTGTTGAGTACTGATGGCATTATTTTCTTCCGTACCCAGTCTGATGCTCACTTATTTGTTTTTGTCTTTGTTCTGTTAGATTATAATCCTAAGGGCTTATAGAAGTGTTTAAGCATTTTAGTTTAATTTTTATTTCTCAGTCCTGAACGGCTACTCTGTCTCTTTCTGTTCTTGAACAGGTTTCACCCGGGAGAGAGCCCTTCATTACTTAACCTGAATTTAAGCAGCAGTTTGTTGATCTTCTTGTTTCCTTGTTGATCTGGTTTCTCACAAAACACTGATATGGTGAGTTTTCGTGGTGCACCATTTTGTGTGTATAATTTTCAACAGTGGCGTGGAGGGGTTGCCATATACCTTCATGCCTGAGAACATGGCCATTGGTCCCCATCTTTTTAGTCATACATAACAATGCCATCCCCAATACATGAGCTATTACCTTTTGTCTTTCTGGAATACAAAGATGGGATTGTAGTTGATAAGCAACTGCCTTCTTTGTCTTCTTGATGTTGTGCATATATTCCTACACTCATATAAACTGTGTTTGTAATAATTAAACAAAAAGATGCTGTACCAACCATTTCAGATTCTCTAGTTTCCTTAGCATATCAACTTGTGGTTATAGTTTTATACAAGTCGAGAAGGCTTTTGTTCTAGTTGGTAAGCATGTCAGATGGTGTGGCCATATAAGATTAGCATTACTTATCTCTTTTTTATTCCTTGGGCGCATGCTGGTCACCAAGTTATCCTGTTTATTTGTTAGATACGGCGGACCTGGTTGTGAACTTGAGGTTGACAAATGGCACAAAGAAAAGGGCTTCCCAAGAGAGGGAAAAAGTCGAGTGCTGAGGGAAGGGAAATGATTGATTACTCTCATGGTATTTCTGCGCAACTGCTGTCCTTCATTCATGCATGATTCCTTTTATTCTTGCAAGACAAAATCTTCTGGTACTGAAAGGGGTTCTTTCATTATTCCTTTGATTAGCCAATACTGCCTCTTTGCAAATGATAGCAACACACTTTCCTTTGTTATCTGCGGACCCTCCCTCCCCACTTGGTTTAGAGAGCACTAAGAGGCATTGGAGAACCAAGGTCAATGGGCATATCTCTTGCTCATGAACATCTTGATGGGCCCTTTTGCAAATCAACTGAACTCTATTTTCTTTCCAGTCATGTACTCAGGTACTCACACAATGGCTGTAAAGTTCTTTTTCCGTTGCAGAATTTTAATTGGCCAATTATAATTATGTGGCTCATCTCTGTTCACCTGCAAGTTGGCTTAAGCATGTGCCTTTCATTGTATTGTTCAGTTGCCATCTAATAGGAATACCCACGAACCCCACATCGCTGGGGAGAGCAATATGTTGGGTCTGAATAGACAATTTTACTGCTGAGGTTACTGGTTGGGCTGTGACTGAAAGGACCCCCAGATAAAGTGGGATAACTTGGGGACCTATTGCCACATAGGATCCAGCTTGAGCTGCTTTTGTTGAAAATTTGTGAAATATGAGTGGGTTAATGATTATTATTCTTTCTGTAAATGATTTGGTGGATCTAGTAAGAAAAAAAAGCCTGAAATGGAAGGATGAAAGAGGTCAAAGCTATTAGTGCATGATTCTGTAACTCATGCATTATTTTATCTTTGAGTATGGTAATCATGCTCCTCCGTCCATGTGCCGACCCTCTTTAAAATTCCTGGAAAACATGATCTTTCTTATTGACCTGAACGTCAATTTCAGCAGTAACTATCAACACAGTAATTTCTTTGAATTTGAATAACAATTCACTTCTCACTATAGTGAATAGAATATTTTGTCTTTGTTTCTTCTACATCACATGAAGTTTGGAAGTCTGATTGACTTCCTGTGTATATGAGAGGGCATGCTATAACACCCCGAATGCATTAATACATTACTTCGAGTGAATCTCGAAGTCCCATATAGAAGCAGAACAAGCCGCGAGAGTTGCATTTGGGCTATCCTATCAAATATCAATAATATGAATACAAAATTCAGGGATAGGCAAGGTGATCAACTACAAAGCTTACTTAGTAGTGTGGGTCTGATAAGATAGCTTGTCAAATATATGAACAGGGAGAAGAATTGAAGTCTCTTGTGTTTGTTTTTGCAGAATGGAGCAACCTAACAAGTAAAAACAACATACCAACACCAAGGAAAGAAAAGTTAGTTTGTCAGTGTACTAGTCTTAACTGTAACAAAATTTGCTGTGCATGAATGTTTGATGATTTCACCAGGGACGTCTTCTGCAAAAGCGCCTCTATCCATTTCAGTTGCTGTATATACAGACCATGTCCTGGTTACTGGTGAGTGAACTAATTAATGCCCTTGCTTGCTAGTGGGGGGTAGGCGGGTTGCACATATGCATCATTGGGGAGGGGGGTAGTGTCTGCATGTTAGATCAATCGTAGTCGCAATAATGGGGAAAGAGCTTGCTGGGCTGGGAAGCAGTGGGAAGAAAAGAAGCATACATGCATACATACTTACTTATTATTACCCTTTTACCCCAAACCTCGTCTTTTGTCCCTCTTTAAACTATAGCCAGCACGCTGAGAATAAATAACCCAATATTTGTATAGGTAAATGAATCCAAGAGTAGGAGGGCTGGTACAAGTGTATCTTGGTTTGGTCTTGTTGTTTTGTGTAAAATTCTGAGGAACGGCAGTGCTTGTTTCTTGGCTCACAAGCCAAGTTAGTGGCCACACAAATAAATGAATGTTCCCCGAACAGTATCTGAAACCCTCTCAGTTTGTCCTCCTATCTTGTATACCTGTTTACTTTATTACCCCTTTGATCCCATCTTGATATGGTGAGTTTATGCAGTAGTGTTGCAGAACAATAAAAGAGTATGGGAAAAGGGGGGCAAAATTCTGATTCCTCCCTTTTCTTCCTCTCTCTGAAATCTGATGTATGTTTCTCAGCGGAACAGTTTGGTGACAATGGGACTGTAGCATTAGTAGAGAAAGTAGAGTATAGCCATGATCATGAAGGAGCAGTAGCAGGCGGGGGCATGGCTGTTTGTGATGAAGGATGGTTAAAATAGGAAGGAAGGTGGGAGTGGTTCCTTGCAATGAGAATAGTGTCTTCTCTTCTGTTGTCTCCTCCACTCCCTGACTTGAGTCAACACTACACTCTGCTGCTGTTACTTCTTAGTTCTTACTACTGGTAAGGGGGGCATGTCCCCCCATCCCTCCAGTCTACAGATTAATCATGTGGGACTGAAACTGAGTTGGCCTTATTTATTATTGAAATGGTAGAGCGTGAATTTAAAGGTTGAAATTGTTGAACCTCGCCGTCCGAGTATATCTGTTTGTGTTGACTGTTGAGCGCTTACCCGTAGCAGGATGCTAACCGAATTTGTGTGCTTGTCCACTTGTAGCAGGAGGTAACAAAAAAACCCATAGCAGGATGCTAACCGTAGCAGGAGGTAACAAAAAACCAGTGTGTTTATGTTTTATATTTGAATTTGGTTTTGGTTTTGATTATGATTGTGATTTGTGATGATTCATGGGGGAAGTAGACAGAATCACAAGTCACAACAGTAGCTAGCTTCTGCTATGAAGTAGTAGATTCCATTCTATTCCACCGCCCATTTTCTATTTTGCTACCTCCTCCCACCGCATCCCAGCAGAATTCTTCTTCTTCTTCCCCGCTGTCTTGTCGTGGGAGTGAGAGTGACTGCCCCACCCGACCCATTCAATCCTTGAGAATTTTGCGCCTTAATTCCTGGGCCGGAGATCTCTTCTAAAATCAAAATCCCTTCATTT